GATTCGGATCAGAATATAGCAATAAATTTTGGGAGAATCAATTAAATATAAGACAAGCTCCATGTTGTGTTTCTATTAGGCAAGATTTTTCGTAGATTTTTGAGCGATAAATTACAGATGTTAGGATTAATTTGCGAAACTAAAAAGATTTCGTTGTAGTTCTGAATTGTTATGACGATAAATAATTTAAAGCTTCAACTCATACTCTTGATGTTAATAAAACTGTCACCTACTATAGTTTTCCATTAACCCTTTTTCTAGTAATAATTCAATGTGGTTTATGATTCTCATTAATTTTTCTTGACTTCAATTTGCACGAGTGAGATGATTTCGATGTAACTCTCCAATGTTATGATAATAATTCACTTTATGATTATTAACAAAATTGACAATAACATGCTCTTTCCTTTACGTATTTGGGCTAAATAATAATTTATTGATCTTTCGAGCCAATCAGATCAAAGTCACTCCCTCTTCACTGAACTTATAAATTCTCTGCAAATTCTCATCAACGTCATTTTTGTCTCCCAATTCGGTCCTGTCGTGATATCAACCTGCTTCGTTCTTAAGTGACCAGTGAATTCGTTTTACAAAGGTAACGTACCTACTTATTCTATACATTTATTTATGCTAAAATGATGCTGCACTCAATTCAAAATAAACATTCGTCCGTTCACGTAATAATATTGCCTAGTAGACGCATGATAAAAGTTATTCTTGTTCAAGACAATTATTTTTCACTGTAGGTACTTAGTTCAAAAGAATTCAGTGCTCCATACCATTTTCTCTAAAATACCCGTTCATTACATACCATCCATCCCTCGTAGACGAAATTGTATATCCAAATATATCAATTTCGTTCCTGGACTATAATCTTTCTTCTTTCTCCAAGCGCCAATATTACGTGAACATGACTCGTGAACCATTATATTGAGCTTCTTATAGAATCTTCTGATGTTTACATAAGCTCGTGACCGAAATAGTTGATTACCTTTAGAATAATAAACAAAAAGATATCCCGGAATGATTTTTTTTTGTACCTGCCGACCTCACAATAAATAGATCATTACAATACCTACTAAATTTAGGTACCGCACTATTCAAATAAAATTACATCTTCACTATATAAGATTCTAAATAACTATTTTCGAAGAAATGAACTAACCTAACTCTATCTTCAAGTTTTATCCTAAATATTTGCATTAAGTAAGTATAGTCATTTGCACTTAACAAAAAATCCTAACTCAATAAGTTTAAACCAAATAGACATAACTTCCATGAGGAAGGTTGGGTCGTCCATAATGATGTTATCCATTGAAAATTCTGCTTTTGCTAGGAGTTTGTGCCTCTTGGACTGACTGCTGTTGATCGTGATATTGAAGTAACCATACCAGCGAAGATGGTATTTTTCCTGGGATACTATAGTCCAATGACTTGTGTGGGAAAAGTACTTGGATAAGATGACCTATCAACGGAGCTGCTTTTTTTTTCAGGGCAATTTTATATATACACTGGAATGTTACTTCATGTCTATGTTTTACCAATTGTTCATTTATCGAAAACTTTTTAATCCCGCACTTCGACAACTATAAAGTAATTTGTTGTTTTTTTGTTGAATGTACCGTGTTACTACTCTGATGTTTCATTTCTCATGCTACCGAATTCCTATCTTCATTTTTCATTGAACTGCACTGTTTAAAAATTGGTTTTGAAACTTGAACGGCATACTTGATCTCTTCACGTGATGCAAGTGCGTAGATATAAATTGATTTTTCTTTTCAAATATTGGGCTAGCTCTCCTCTGCTTGTCGGTCGATTTTCGTGAGTTCATTATCTCTTCTCTTTCTCTCTTTCTTATTCTGTTGATGTTGATAAACAAAATATTTTTCTTCAATGACCTTGACCAGCACAGTAATAAACAGTCGAATAGCAAGTGCATTCTGAAGGTCTTCGAAGGCCACTTTGGAAATTCGATTACACCATTAGGAGTAAAGTTTATTTTTTTCAATCTGTCCATTTTTTTTGTTATCATGACTTAGTTCAAGGTTGATATCCATTGTCTCATTCTCATATGTATATTCTCGCCGTTACTCATTATGTCCTTTAGACATCGACGTGCATCACGGTGCCACGTCCTCTTTCGCTAAACAATCTATAACTCTGTGTACTTTCATCCTGTTACTTTCCTATTATATTTTCATTTGATTATTCTTCTATTGAATACACAATTTTTTCCTTTCTGTTCTAATCTGCGGACTTTGAAGTGCATCCTTGTGCCATGGCTTCTTGTATCCGAGAAAATAAAGCTTTCTTCGAAATTATAATGACATTTTTGCTTTGCTCTTCAGCTACAGTTCACACTCTTCTAGACTTTATTTTTCATCTCATCTGGGAACATGTTTCTTTCACAGTTTTCATTTTTTTTGAACTCAACTATTCCACTTTTTCTGAATCCGTGTTTCAGATACCCGCCTCCTTATTGGTTTCGGCAACTGTTGTCTCCAGACATTGAGGTGCATCTTTGTGCCCTGTCCTTCTGTGCCTGAGTAACAGTTGCATTCCCGAGGCTACTCTCTCGACTCTAGATTGGCTCTTCTCTAACATGTGATCTTGTATCACTGTGTTTACCTTTGGACGCTGCAGTCTTCCTTTCCTTTGACTTCTCTCCACACCTTGGAGTATCCGGGATGGATCTTGCTGTTTGATGAACCAGAGGACTGGAATTCCCCTGTTCACCGGAATTCGCTGCCAATTCCAGTGGCATCGAATTCATATCTTCCTTGAGTTCGGTTGGAGTAAAGACTTTCAAGGTATTCCTGATTTCAGCCAGATTATTTTCCATTTCAGCTAACCTCACTTTTATCTCTTTTTCCCAATCGTTATTTTCTTCTAATAACTCAATTACTTCATCTAGAATATACATTTTCCCTGTTCCCCAGTCTATTTTCGCTCCAAATCTTTGTAAAAAATCCAACCCCAGCAGCATATCAGCTCTGAAGTTTGCTGTTTCTATGAGAATAAATTCGTGTTCTATAGTTTTTCTCAGGTTTAAATTAATCGGAATAATAACTTTCCCTCTATCGTTAATTTTCCTCCCTTGGATATCAACCAAACTAATCTCATTATTTTCTTCGATATTGAACCCCTGCACGATACTTGGCATAATGAGAGATCCTTGTGCACCCGAATCAATCAAAGCTGTCATGTACTGACCTTTTACTCCAATTCTCGCTATGTTTCGGGGTTCCTCCATCTCCCGGGTGCAACTCAGTATCTCAGCCGTCCTATGGTTTATTGTCGCGCTTCCTCTCCAACAGCTACATGGCGGGGTTGGAATGCAGCTGCGTTTCTGTCTAAAGTCCTGGTGGGCTGATATTGACGTGGATAGCTCCAGGCCCTATCCGCATAACCTTGACCTCCTTGGGATAATCCTCGGGTTGGTGTCTATTGTTCATTATTTCCACTGCTCTGCATTGTCTCTCTTGTATCTTGGTTAGATTTTCTATTGTTTCTTCCTTTTCCGCTATTCTGACTGCGTCTTCTAAGGTTAGGGGCTCTTCTGATAGTACTCTCTTCCTGATCGGGTTCAGCAAGCCTAATACAAACTGCGTGGTGGTGTCTGCTGCTAATTTCTGTTTAATCAGCCGATTGTCATCTGGACGAGCAGTGTAGGTCACAGTTTTATTTGCAGCAACCCTTAATCGAGCCAAAAATTGTCTGCACGACTCACCGTTGCGTTGTCTACATTCGATGAATGCCTTCAGGGCTTGCCCAGGGAGTTGCACTATTCCAAACTGCTTACGTAGGGCCTCTTCAAGGATGTCCCAGGTGGCTGTAGTTCTTAGATCAGGCTCTGAATCGATCAACTGTTTGGCTACCCCTCGTAATTTCAATCGAGTAATGGCTGTTTGCTGCCTCTCGGTCCATCCTGCTAATATAGCTGTTTCTTCAATGATATGGAGAAAATCGTGAATACTTGTTGATCCATTGTACTCTGGTATTGCATCCAAGTTCATGGGCATGGAAACAATGATGTTTTTCTGTTCGTCGTCGTCTCCGGTTTGTGACATTTTTCAGTCTTATGCCTACAAGTCTTTCTCCTGCCGCTGAGGGTAGAACAGCTTCTGAATAATTCAACCCCACACCTGACACCAATTGTAATGCCCCCAACTTTCTTCGTTCGTTGGCCTACTACAGGGGGTCGTTACAAAGTAAGTTTTCCTCGATCAATGGGTTCGTTGATTATTGAGGCAGGAGGCAGACTGAAAACGTATCCAGTTTTGTATTGAGTCACGTTTAAGACTTTTTACATTCTGCTCAATAGATTCAATGATTGAGATTCGATCATTATTCCCGAGGCTCACTAACAAAACTTTCAAGTATCACAACGGAGATCGAGACATTGTATTGGAGACTGATCAATACTGCTTCATGAATAACTTCAGACTGTCTTCTCTCATTCGGATTGTTTCTGCTTTTATACAGAATATAGCAATAAATTTTGGGAGAATCAATTAAATATAAGACAAGCTCCATGTTGTGTTTCTATTAGGCAAGATTTTTCGTAGATTTTTGAGCGATAAATTACAGATGTTAGGATTAATTTGCGAAACTAAAAAGATTTCGTTGTAGTTCTGAATTGTTATGACGATAAATAATTTAAAGCTTCAACTCATACTCTTGATGTTAATAAAACTGTCACCTACTATAGTTTTCCATCAACCCTTTTTCTAGTAATAATTCAATGTGATTTATGATTCTCATTAATTTTTCTTGACTTCAATTTGCACAAGTGAGATGATTTCGATGTAACTCTCCAATGTTATGATAATAATTCACTTTATGATTATTAACAAAATTGACAATAACATGCTCTTTCCTTTACGTATTTGGGCTAAATGATAATTTATTGATCTTTCGAGCCAATCAGATCAAAGTCACTCCCTCTTCACTGAACTTATAAATTCTCTGCAAATTCTCATCAACGTCATTTTTGTCTCCCAATTCGGTCCTGTCGTGATATCAACCTGCTTCGTTCTTAAGTGACCAGTGAATTCGTTTTACAAAGGTAACGTACCTACTTATTCTATACATTTATTTATGCTAATGATGCTGCACTCAATTCAAAATAAACATTCGTCCGTTCACGTAATAATATTGCCTAGTAGACGCATGATAAAAGTTATTCTTGTTCAAGACAATTATTTTTCACTGTACTTAGTTCAAAAGAATTCAGTGCTCCATACCATTTTCTCTAAAATACCCGTTCATTACACACCTGTTTGACCGGAAGTGACCCCAACTTTTTTTTTTGAATGTCACTTTGTACATTTCTTCAGTCTATCTTTTTTGCCTTAAAATTTTCTATCCAACCATATGTATCACAAAGGGGCATTTATTTCTTGATTCGCTGTTGGATTGCTTTTTATTCAAAAAGAATAAGTTGGCTGTGACATGAATTCCATGGCATATCGACACTTGGTAGGCTTTGAAATTCAAATATCATTAGTAAACCGATATTATACAAAATGTTTCGATATTCTGATCAATGAATGCAGATTCAATAGCTTGTTTGAGTCTAGATGAAAACCTTCGAAAATAACTCATGATATTGTGGAATCTAAGATAGGAACATATTTTTTCGAATTCAGCTACTCGTACAGAAACTATCTGTCTTTTATTTTCGCCATGTACCTATCACATGATCTCCCCATGAGTACCTACACAAAATGTTTTATGTGTTTGTCAGTTAATTGATTGCATCAATAATTTTTCTTCTTCATTTGTGTGTTGATTGAAGTTGCATATTAACAACATATCGACTTTTTCGTTTCTTGAATACATTTAGGTTGGGTTAATCTGGTAACATATCTTAGGTTAGGTTACTAGATCTGGTAACATATCTTAGGTTGGGTTACTAGATTTGGTAACATATCTTAGGTTGGGTTACTAGATCTGGTAACATATCTTAGGTTGGGTTACTAGATCTTGTAACATATCTTGGGTTAAGTTACTAGATCTGGTAACATATCTTAGGTTAGGTTACTAGATCTGGTAACATATCTGAGGTTGGGTTACTAGATCTGGTAACATATCTTAGGTTAGGTTACTAGATCTGGTAACATATCTCAGGTTACTAGATCTGGTTACATATCTTAGGTTAGGTTACTAGATCTGGTAACATATCTTTGGTTAGGTTACTAGATCTGGTAACATATCGACTTTTTCGTTTCTTGAATACATTTTCCGTATTTATTGATAATATGCAATTTCAATCAACACACAAATGAAGAAGAAAAATTATTGATGAAATCGATTAACTGTCAAACACATAAAACATTTTGTGTAGGTACACCGCCTACTAAGTGAAATAATTATGAAAATATAGACTGATAGCCCTGTGGATCATCGTATAAGAGGAACAATTTTAGTTTTATTATTCCAAATGGGAAGATCATGTCATTGTGATAGGTACATGGCGAGAATAAAAGACAGATAGTTTCTGTACGAGTAGCTGAATTCGAAAATTTATATTCCTATCTTAGATTCCTCAATATCTTGAGTTATTTTCGAAGGTTTTCACCTTGACTCAATCAAGCTATTGACAACCTGCAGACATTGATCAGAATATCAAAACATTTTGAATAATATCGGTTTACTAATGATATTTGAATTTCAAAGCCTACCAAGTGTCGATATATCATGGAATTCATGTCACAGCCAACTTATTCTTTTTGAATGAAAAGCAGTTCAACAGCGAATCAAGAAATAAATGCCACTTTGTGATACATGGTTGGATAGAGAATTTCAAGGCGAAAAAGATAGACTGAAGAAATGTACAGAGTGACATTTAAAAAAAAAAGTTGGGGTCACTTCCGGTCAAACAGTTAGTCGAAAAAAATTGTCGTTAAGTTCGTAAAGTGCGCTACCATTTATTATATACCCCTTGTGAATTTCAAAATTGTATCTCTTCAAATAAAATAACTACAGGCTGCTACATGTCTCCTGTGTCACCCGGTATAGTTTAAAGTCCATGGTATTTCAAAGTGGGGTTAATATATAAAAAAATAAATAATGTATCTGCACACAAAAATTATCGCCTTCACCAAAATTTGAAAAGGATATCATCATAGTTTATGGAATATAATTATGAAAATTCTCTAAACTGTGAAATTAGATCCTATTGATTGAATTTGATAGGAAACTATACCATTTATTATGTAGATGAGATGATAGTATTTCTGAATAAGAGAAAAAACCCAGTATTTCTACTATTTCTAGAACATATAAAAAATGAGGACTTGAAGAGAAATGGCTTTATTCCAATATTCTTCTTTCAATTCTAATAAGACTCAATATTTAATTTTTCGTCAGAGAAATAAACAAAATATTGTTCTTAATATCAAAATGAGAAATGAACGTTTGAAGCAAACTGCCCGTACCAAATACCTTGGTGTTTGGATTGATGAAAAATTAACATGGGAAAAGCATATTGCCACCCTCAGAGGAAAAATATCTCCTATTATTGGTGCTTCAAGAACATGTCCTGAACTTAGCACATATACATTAGATATAATTCTCTATTCACATATCATCAGTCGAAATAACTATCTGATGAATATTTGGGGATCTTTGTTCCAAAAATAGTTTCAACAAAATTTCTGTTCAATATAAGAATGCATTGGAAGTACTGTATCGTCTTCCATACTCCAACAAATCAACTGTATAAAGATAGAAACACACTTTCTATAGAAATGAACTTATTTTTCTCCATCCTTGTTCACTATATGAGTACTGTTATTTTGACATATCTCAATGATATGTAAGTTTTGTTCACGATTTTGTAATTTCAATTATGCCGACAATCGATAATACTTCATGAATGATCTTATACCAGGATTTACTGTCTGATCATTCATGTCATTCATACTAGAAAATTAATTATACTTCATATATTAATTGTATGAAATGAATTAATGAAGAAAAAAAATGTTACGCAATAACTGAAAATGAATGAAATAGTAAAAAAATATATAGACACAAATGTGAGTGGGGCGAATAATACCGCTCCCCTGCGACCACAGATGGGTCAATTGTGGCTCACCCCTAGAGGTTACAGTTCAGTATAAAATCCAGAAAGAACTTGTACTCATATCTGAGTAATTTGTGAAAATATTTCATTATCTAAATGTTATCATCGCATTTTATTTGTTAGAATGCCACAATTGGCCACTGAGCTAATGTAATTATCAGATCACATCATGAAATTTTCGTTTGAATCAATGATTCTTTGAAATGACAGCGCCGTTATTTGAAGACACTTCACAAACGATTAGATTTCATAGAAAATTCTCGTTCTTACTGGTACAATGAAGAATTTGTCGTTTATAAAGTTTTCTCAATTGAAATCAATAAGGAATGTTACTGATATGGTTTCCTAACTAGAGAAATAGCAGAATTCACGATGGCAATATTTTTGGAAAATGTGTTTACAATAGTCTGTAATAGGATGAATGATCATTCCTATTCCAGGTTAATAACTGGGTTGTGAATGTATAGTGACAGACATTCTAGTAATCAATTCAAAGTCAGTTAGAATCAATTTCGTCTTTATTGGTGGTACAAGATATATATATATATATAGATACAATCAATCATATGAACGTACCCTAAACCTCAACCTAATATCATGAATACACCGTGCGTCTTGATAACAACAGTGTTAACAACCCACACGGTGCGTTGTCCTCGCTTATCCTATTATACAGAGTATTCCTAACAATACAGTCTGTCCAAGATAAGGTTGAACAGCATGGGGATCTCGGAAAGGGTAGGAGATACGAAGTCGCTTAAATGGGGAAAAAGTTGCGCATTTGGAGGCTCATATCAAGAGCCTTCGAAAATTTTGAAAATTATTTTTAGTTTTTGAGTTATATCGAAAAAAGTGAATTTTTGGAATTTCTATTTTATTTTTTTTCTCCGTTATTATTAGAGATACAGAAAAACTGAAAATACTTTTCCATAGCAACTTTTGATGACGTTTAATGTGAAGATACCGATTTTTTTATGCGACGTTTCGATTTCGTGGAACCATCATCAACTTTTGTTTTTTAAATACGGTCCTGATAATGTTTTCACAGATTCTGAAAGGTTTTTTTATTCTAAATTCAACCATGTACTATACAAGGTGATTCGAATGTGTTTCGACCTATTTTCATTCATCATCAATGTTTTTTCGAACTTCCAAAGGAAAAAAGCCATCAGTTCCACTTATTTCTGATCATTTAGTGTCAAATTTGATGGATTAGTTATTCAATACTGAAAAGTGAATAAAAAATATTTCACACAATCATTCGATCAATGCAGCGTTTAAAATTGTTGATGACTTCTTACACGAATTACTCTAACAACTCAACTTTGACAATACCTACAGAGACATTCATAACAAATGTTCAAAATGATAACCATTATTTTCTGAACAAAGATATCCTCTTCTCACAGTTGCTTCTAAGACATTACTATAAGCATTTCTGGGATTATTTCATTGAATGCTTCGATGACACTGTCCCTTAGTTCTTCTTCATAATCAAAATTAATTTGCGTATACAAAGTTTTTGATATATCCCCTAAGAAAAAATCCAGCTGTGTCAAATCAGGCTACCGCGCCGGCCAAGGGACTGTAGAATGAGTACCAATCCATTTCTCTGGATAAAAATGCACGGACTTCTCTGGAATTATGTACCGGATCTTGTTGAAACCAACAGTTCTGAACTTCCGCAATCGGTGAATCATCCAGAGCTTCCTCAAGATGATTCTCAAGCAAATTTCTATAACGTTTGGAAGTCTGTGTTTCATGGTGAATAAAAGGACCAATAATTCGTATACTAAATATTACAACCCACATATCAAAGCCGAAACGGTGTTGGTGTCTCGCTGTAATGTATAAATGTTCATTTTCTCGTGAACAATAATGTGTATTTTTTCTATCGAAGATACCATGATTAGTGATCATGCTTTCATCAGTCCAGATTATTGTTCGAGGGGAATCTGCAAAATTTTGACATTTCC